GAGCCGGTGAGATTTGAACAGCCGAACTGCAGTCAGCTGAAGTAGCCTGCAGTGCTGCATTTAACCATTGGGCCACCTCGGCTCTGTCTAGGACCAAAGCTAAGATTGTGATTGAATCAACAGACTTCCAGATACACAGCTCTGCAGTGTTGCTGAGATTCAATCTCGGGTCTATTTTCCCCACCCAGCTCCTAACAGCTTTCAGATACCCATCCAGAAATTCCCCCAAAGTGGAGATGCATCCCTTGCTCTCAAAGGATTGATGAATGGTAGATGTCAAGCCTGGTGGCACCCCACACCCAAGAGCCCGAGGAGCCCACCTCTCCCCTCAGCCACTGGGATCGCCGGTTCGGCCCCAGGTGCATTGCTCCCCAATCCCAAGCTTCACGGAAGGTCCAGAAGGACACCGTGATCCAAGCTATCCAAGACAGCCGGATCAGGAAGAGGATCCTTTCGTGGTGCCACTCCAGCTTATCAACAAGGCAGGCGATCTAGTTTGGGTTTCATCTGGAAAAGGTCCAGGATTCTCAACCACGTTCTTTTCTCAAGAAGCTTCAGGGAATACAGATCGACAGTCTGTACTCTGCCGGGGGTGGCCGACTGCAGGCCCTCCGGAGAAGCTTCCCTGCTTTGGCCCTCAGGCGGCCTCAGAATCCCCGCGGAGAGAAAAAATCTGCCGGCATCAGCAAAGCGCGACGACGGCACAACGAACGGCGTATGCGCGGGGCGTCGAGACGCGCCTTGAAAGGACCCGGTGATGCGAGACTTCCGCCCGATGAGATCAAGCCCCGCCCCTTCCGACTCCGGGAAGCAGCAGGTTCGCCGGATCCCTTCGCCCGCTCTGCTGCCATGGCGCTCCTGTGCTCCGGTGGCCGCTCGCTCCTGCCTCCTCGCGTGGCCGCCCTCGCGGTCCGAGCCAGGTAACGGCGCCGGCATCTGGGAACGCGGCCGAGAAGACCAGGCCGGCCGCGGAGGGACGAAGCCGGCGACCCCTTTTTGTCCTTCGGCGGACCCCGTGGCGGGATCGCGGCGAGGAGGGCGGCCGTGATTGGGCGGCTCGGGGGGCGGGAGCGCTTGCGAGGTCTCCGATTGGCGGCCTCGGTGTCCTTGGAGCGGAGACGCGCGGGCGGGGGTCGAGCGGGCGGGGTCTCTCGCGGCACCTGTCCCAGCCTCGCCCCGCTTCTGAGGCGCCCCATGGCGGCGAGAAGCGGTCTGGGCACCCGCCCGGTGGCTGGCGGTTCCCGCCTTAAGCGGCGCTTCCGGAGGCCTCCCCGGCGCCCGAGGCTCCCTGCTCTTCGGGAGGGGGGGCGGCACTGGGGGAAGGCGGCGGACCTCTCCCTGCAACCTGCGGGCGGCTCTTTACCCCGCGCGAGCCTGGAGGGGCGTCGGCCTGCGGGTGCGGTGGGGGGTCCCGAGGGCTGTAGCTGCTGTTGGTGGGCGAGAGCTTGGGCTTCCCTCCTGCGGCGGCCCTCGGAGGAAAGGCCGCCGGGCTGATCTCCTCTTCCTGGACGCTTCAGCTCCTGGTGGGCTCACGTGGAGATGGGCCCCCCCGACCCTATTCTGGGGGTGACGGAGGCCTTCAAGAGGGACGGCAGCGCCAAGAAGATGAACCTGGGAGTCGGGGCTTATCGGGATGACAACGGGAAGCCCTATGTCTTGAACTGCGTCCGCAAAGTAAGCTGCTTCCTCTCGGCTTCCCCTACCCCCGGGGTCAGGGCAGACGTCGAATGGGGCGGTTGGAGTCCGGCCTGCACTTGAACGGTCTCTGGCCGTTTCCCAGCGTGTGGGTAATGGACCGGCCATCAGCATTGATGGGGCTCGGAGGGAAGTTTCAGGATTTGGGAGCAGCTGGAACTTAACTCCCCCTTCCTTCCTTCCTTCCTTCCTTCCTTCCTTCCTTCCTTCCT